ATATGTGTAAGGCGAAGAAAAAAATGTTTGTTCGTAAACACCGAGAAACGAGGCGGAAGATCTTTACGAGGGACTTATCTCGGGGGATGGATTTTACAACGTACTTTCACGAAAACGCTTGACTCCAGTATTAACATGTACGACAATATTTAGCACTGCACGATAAGCCTGTTGTGCTTTCTAAAACTTCTCCTTGCAAACAGATTTAAAATAACTCGTCTACAATCATTGCCTTGCGCTTCATGTTGAGGCATCCGAACATCTTAACTTCAGACCAATCGAAGACTTCCTATGGCCGAAAGTGGCTAAGGTTTACTTGGGCAACAGAGCCCTTGTAACCCCAAAGCAGTAAGTTCTATGGCACATTGGTAAATTATCGAAAGAAAAATTTGATAAACTCACAGTTTATAAACTTCAGTTTGCTTACATTGCATTACTTGCAAATTGGAGATTTAAAAACGCGCATTCCTCAAGTGATTTAGCAGTTAGTACCATCCGATTCATGTAACAAAAAATTTTTTCCTAAATATCGATTTCGTTTGGCAACTTTAAAGAAGTTTTCAGGCGGCCAGTTGAGTGATGTAATATTTAAAAAGCAATGGCGCCAAATATTGCCATTTGTCATATAAAGTTGATATTTTGCGAAGTACATACATTATAATTATTTTTCAAAACTCGTCTAGTCAATACACCCGGAGGTGAGTAAGCCTATACATTTGAAGGCATAAATAGTCCATGGCTTTATAGACCGTTGCCTTGTTTATACCATCATTTTGAAAATACTTTCCGCAGAGGCTTTTCGGCGAAAAAAATATATTAAACACTAAGCTTTAATTAGTTGGTGTAAGTCATACAACGCTAGAGAGTTTCGGAGGATGACATACAAACGCAGTTCGCTGACATCATATTCCCCAAGAAAGACATTAGCCTTTTTTATACGACTGATAGAAAGCGTTTTTTACTTTTTTCGTCCCAAAACAATTTTTTTTCGTGCGAATTTTTTGCCCGTAATCTAGGTCATGTCAAGTAATCCCTGCACTCACAATGTCTATATCTGACGTTGGCAAATATAGGCCAGTATAGAAACTGCCAAATACGTCGACCTCTGCATCTGGCCACCGTTCAATAATTAACGTTCGGACGCGGCTAATTACCCTTTCGCGTACCATCTGTTCGTGCGCACTCGGACGAATAAATCTGTAGAAATCCTCGATTTCTTCTGCAAGTCTTTTGAGTCGCAGTAGCACCAAAAAGAAGAGAAAGATGATTCCTTAACAGTGACAAATATACAATTTAGGTAGAAGTGTCCATTAACAATGCGTAAATCCAATTTGTATCAGCTAACTAGATCATTAATGAAATTTTCTTATCAACCTCATATGAAGTCACCATTCCACGAGTAGATACACCGATAGCCCACAGATAGGGGAGAGATAAATGACTATAAGGCTATGCCATAAAGATAGCCAGACGATAATATATTCCATTACATTAGTTACCCATTTACACTATACTCGTAGACCTTGTTCGGCGCCTTCCATGGCGTGCCCCCAAACTGTGTCATCGATGGCGGCCAATCCGAGTTGCGTCTTATTGTATACGAACCTCGTCTAAAACAGATGACACAATTACGGATTATCATTTTCTTAACGACTTGTTGTACAGAAATGATGGCGGAACAATCCGCTATGCTGTTATTATATTGAATTGTGGAATGGGTCATGATCTCTTAAAGCCAGGATTACTAGTGTTCTCCGTGCAAGCGCCATTTACCCTATACGCAGACGGTGAAGGCAGAATCGCCACATGTGATGAAAATAAGAAGATTAAAAATATTTTCTGGGCTATATGTAGGCTGTAATGATGACTATGATAATAACGGTTATAAAAATAACTGGTAATTATGAACTGACATTTTAATAGAAGTTGCAACTTTGAAAAATAGAGAAACGGTCTTCGGCTGATCGGTTATTCACCAAGTAAGCCCAGTGGTTCACGATACTGCTTCAACGGTTGTTATTGATAAAAAATTACACAAAAGGCCAGTGACAAAGCACTCACTTTGACTACATTTTTAACAAGTACTTGTATGTTAACGTTATTTGCTCCCAATTTGATATTGGTGATTACTGAAGAAGCCCTGATGTACGATTTACGAGAGTCATTGCGTCTTACGCGTTTCGCCTTTTCGAAAAATTGATCCCTCTACGAGTTTAGCCTACAGCCGTTTCCTATGAATACATATAACTTGAGACGCATAGTCTTTAGGTAATAGCTTTAAACTTTAAAGTAAAAAATGTTCAATCATTTTGCATAGAGCTATGCGTACACTAGGTCTTACTCGCGCCGAGGACAATAGACCCGATTAAGTACAGGCTTTTCGATATTGAACAGAAATAAAGCAGCTATGTGTCTACCTCTGTCTGGTGACGGCGTATTGCGTGGGGACATCGGATTGGACGGTACTGGCTTCGTGCGGTTGAGTAGCTCCGTGCATCGGTGTGGCCATCCACCCCCAAGCCCCGATAGGCTGTTCAGTTACGGTCTGCAATATTCTGTTCCATAATTCCCACGCTGGACATTGCGGCTCAGACTGGACCCACAACATTCCTCTCGTCTAAAATTAGAAAAAACATTAGAACGCGTTTATGCAATCATTATAATAGAATCAAATGTTTCGAACTGCCTAGAAATGTCATCGTGAAACTCCGTCAACAATAACGCACCCGTGTATTTCTGCAGCGGGCGATGCATATGTAATTGGTATAATCGAGCCCCGTGATCCGGCACGTGGCAGATGGCACGATGAGGCTCACCATCTTGCGTAGTGGATTTCTTCAGGGTGTTCTAGGAAGCACCGTCGATTGATGCCAGAACGATTTTCCGACTATTTCCTTTTTGTGTTGTTTGCAATGGCTACGAAGATCAACTTCAAAACTAGCTCTGTCATATACGATTGCGGTAAAAGACTAACGTGTCTGCTAATGTTTTTTTCGTGTATTTACTGTCTCTAATCTAATCTTTCATATTATGCGCAAAAACGAATATATGAATTGTCACGGATGTGAGATAACGTTATTTGCCCCTAGCCAATCTACCCTAAACGGCAGGAAGGCAGGCATAAATATATCACGATAGATTTCTCCCGTTGAACACATCTATGATGAGCTTGGGCACTGAGCTGTGAGGCGGGCCTGTGCGTGAAGCTAATCAGATTTGTAGAAAATGGTAAGACGCTAATCATCCTACGGTTCCCCGTTACCAAATTCACGGGATGGACCTTACATCTAGCGCTGCTGACATAGTCTCCTGCATCGTTATTCAAATGGTGCCTCAGTAAACGACTGGGACGTTTGCCAATTTCTGAAAGCACATCATTTAACACAAATTACACAGAATCGATATTTGGAGCACTCGAGAGTTTTCAGTCAGAAAAAGCACACAATTTATATATGTACATATACATAAGCTGTATAAAGAATACTTGTAGGAGTGTAGCGTCACACCGGCAGAATATTTATCGGAGTAGTGGAAACTGAGGCTTGTGGTAGAGCAGGAAATCAATTTCTAAGATATCCACCTTTGGTAAACACAGCATAGCGCAACAGGTTGTCACATGGCAAAAAGTATGTTTCATTTGAGTATTGCAAATAGGTCGTTGAAAGGAACGCAGGAAACGACTTTGCAGTGTAAGAATATTTAGTTAAATGTAAATGTTTTTCTAATTAATCGTTGAAACGTTCATTCATCGGAATCCAGCTCTGGCCTTACCCGTATCTATCTATGTATCATTCGAGTATTACTAGGACATCACAAATGTACCGAAAGGCGCCTATAGCAATCAGGTTTCTCCCACGGACCCTAAGAGCGCAAATCATGTTTTTTTTTATTTACAATTAAAAAAATATGATGAATCGAAAAACAGATATCGCACGGAAGGAACGAGGTATCAGGTCACAGTGCGTAATAATTGTCTACATTTAGCCTCTTTGCAAGTCTTCTTTGATTCTCTGACAGGTTCTGATTATGTAAGCTCATCATTCCAGTTGATACTAGGAACATCGAATGACGATTAACTAGCGAACCTATAGTTTTCATCACTACTTCGACCCTTTCTCTCTCTCTCTCTCACTCTCTGTATATATCTATCTATCTTTCTTTCTTTCTGATATCTGACACAATTTGTTTATCTTGGAATATCTCAGTTCTGTTTCGCCTACGCATTAATACCTTTAATAACTGAAGATCATTCCTATCATAACTATACAGCGGTTGCTTTACCTTTTTAGCGTGTCTCCGGACGGCACCGATAATCCACGGTACTCGATCGTGAAAAGTGTTTTTACAAGACAATCACTACTTGCTCTTAGACATAGCACAATACTTTTCCGATGTCCGTACCTCAGCTCGAACTAGATGTCTATTTTGTACAGGCGCTATGGGGGCAAACAGCTTTTAGTAAGGGTCGCGCAGCCGCGTAGCGTTTAACCAGATGGCACTGCAACCAGGCACAAATCACGTTCCGTTACTGGTTAGCAGTCTTTACGCTTAAAGAACGTGCCTACTAGTCGCACAGATCTTTTGTGCAGTTACGCATACTGTGGCACATACCTGCGGATCGCTGTGGAACGGGGCTGTCAGCGTACCTGGCAGCATGTCCGGCTGCACCTGTGGTGCACGTCAGGTGTTTACGAGCCCTAGTAAAAAAGAAACAAAACCCAGAAGGCTTTTTAAGGCTTCGATATGCACTGAATTTATTTTGTGTGCGGCGGGAAGTTCTCCAGAAAACGTGATGCTGGCAGTGATGACGATGGTACGTTCTGTGTACGTGGGACCTATCTATTCTGTGACTTTTAGGTGAACACGTTGCAACTGAGGTCAGACGAATGAAGAAACAAAAAAGAGGTTTATATCAATGAATATAAAGTTTAATACCAGATACTTGTCATGACAGTTTTGTAGATTACTTTAGATTATTATTACTACGTACGCTACAATTACTTCGAGCTGATGATTACGGTAGGTACCTGTCTTCGTGCTTTTGATACAATTATACATAATGATAATAGCATAAAAAAAAACTTGTATTATCACTACTTAGGTATATCATAATGTGTTTAACCACCGTCTCATGCTATAGAGGACCCAAAGTAGTGGCTGCTTCAGCGTGAAGAGTTTCCCTACTCATAGCAAGTATACTTACGGTGCTTCCCACTAATGTAGTGCATAGAAAGCACCAGACAGATTGAGAACCAGATTAAGTGCAAATTTTCCGCTTACGTTTTGTTTAGAGTGGCGTTAGGTATCTTCAACGAGTATCCTAGCTCAGGCCGTCAAAGGAGTGAAGATTATTGTTTTTAGATTTGCTGTTTTTTTCACTGATTAACTAATTTGGTCACAATAGAGGATCTAAAAGTCTTCACGATTTGTTTTTTTCTAAATACTAAAAGAACTACGAAAAAATGTAGCCCATTTTTACCCTTGCTCATCTGTATAGACATCTGCAGCCGTTACGTTCGATGTGTGACACTTGTTTGCTTTTTCTGCTCTTACTTCCTACTAGTAATTCCGCTTGTATGAACGCTCCGCCCAGAATTTTGTTTATGGCGTCATTTTTTCCTAGTTAGCCCGGCCAGTGTTGTTTCATCGAATCAAGTTTATCTGCGGTCTCGCATTCCCTCAGCGGACGGCCTTGTCACTCGTAGACTCTATCTACATATATGTAAGAAACGTATACGCGCCGCTCCTTTCTGTTCTTCTTTTTTTTTTTTACATTTAACTTAAAATTATCAGGCGTTCATGGCAAAAGTCATTCTAGCTTAAGCAAGATTCAAGGAAAAGACTTTTTAAGTTAATTCAACGTCACGGCAGCCTTATTAAAACCAAGTTTATTTACAATTTTTTTTACATACTAAGTCCTGGTTGATCATGAAACTCAATATCTCTCGCACGCGTTGACACCCGATGGCTTGGCAGTACGCAACAAATTGTAGTAACAATAATACTAATAATAACAATATCCTCGTCAACAATTGGGTTTTATAGGCATAACAGGAACTGTGATATAAATATTTTAATTTTAATTATGGCAGTATATAATAATAAATATGGCAGGCTAATACATTTCTAATGATATTCATAGGGCGATTATGTTTCCCTTAACTGTAAGCCTGCCTGTATTGTACTGTTCTGTATAAGCAAATAAAATTCTTGAAATATATAAATCCGTGCAGAAAATCTCAAACGGCTCGAACGATTTTTTCTGCTAAGTCAAATCGTGGAAACAGAAATAGTAGATGGAAATGTGCTAAACAGTAGACCAATCCGTAAAGGTGAATATTTTCAAAAAGACTTTTTTTTTTAAAACTACGACGGGTTTTTTTCATTCGAAAACACTCGCTGAGTAAATAATTAGTATACCCAATTAGGAGCTTCTGCAGTGGCGAAAAGAAAGAACACAAGGCAACCAGATATGGTCCAGTTTGGCTAGTTAACATGCATGATAAGTAGCCATAGTCATCTGGTGCGTCACGGTGTAGCGCAGATAGCGCCACGGTCGCAAAGGGGACGCGACCGTGGCGCTATCTGCGCTAGAAGTATGCTAGAAGTATCGCGAGAAGTATGATCATATATTCAACTTCACGCGCCTTTTTCATCTATATGTAACATATAATATGATTATACCTAAGAGATAAGGGACATAAGCACATGAATGAGCTCTGTTTTTCCAAGTTCGTGACTTCTAAGCTTCGGATCGCGGGTCACTGTCTGCTAGTCAAATTAGGCTCAGCTCTTACATTTCGGCCGGCATGATTTCCTACTTCCATCAACAACTGTGTCGCTGGAAATGATCGCATGAAAAAAGATCGACTAACAGAACACAAATCTTTTCATTATGTTGATGCTAAACCATTGCTTTTTTGATCACTGGCACGACTATCTCGGACGCATATCAGCGAGAAAACTTTATACGGTGATTTTGGAAGATTTAACAAAATGGGGTTTTTTCATCGAATCCAACCAATTTCTGGACGAGAACACTAATAGTCTCTATGGGAAAACTACCCAATTAATTGTTCTTTCAAACAAATTCAATCGTCCGCACGTATGAGGCGCCTGGAACATGTTGTCATTAATATGAAAGCGACCACTATTTGCTTATGACTGATTCAGTCTTGAGACCCACGACTATCTTCGTGGAAAATAGGTCGAATGGTCGAAATGGAGAATAAGAAAATTGTCGAAACTCCATGTTTTGCATAGTTGAGCACGGTGAATTGTACTGCGTGAACACACTGGGTAGCATTATCTCTCTACTAAGAACGTGTCGGTAAACGGACACCCTTGATCAATTCTACAGTTATCATCATTGTTTTACAAAAAAAATGGCACTAAACCCTGGTTGGTTATCAGTAAACATATCGTCGATGCTGTGAGTCAAATATTGGACAATAAGAATTAAACGGCGACAAGCAGAAGAGTTCACTCTAAACAAGCCCTGCAAGTGTCGAGGATTACTGAGCACAAGACGTTGCATAGCTGCAAGGTCCATACTTCTACTGTTGCAGAGGCGTTCGTTGAGCTAACTAACTTCAACAGCAGTTACATACTTTACTATAGCGTTATCCAGTATCATTTGGGTTGACTAACATAGCAAACATCCTAAAAGTTACTGCAAATAAATGCGTCCTTTGAATTTTGAGGATTTAACTAAACCCTTTCATCCGATAGAGCAAGTACCTTAGCTATCAGTAACGACAACATAGGTAACTCTACAAATTTAACCCTGAATGGTCAACAAGCCTCAGATGAAAAAACTGATTTATTGTAGGATGTGCCTGCGTTTGGCCTAGCTACAGACTAGCTAGAACATTCCCCCAAAAAAACTGTAGAGCGTAAGCACAAAAACAGCGACACGAACCTTAGCACCATTGTATTTTTGGTACCGGATAAAATTCCAGGATCAATAACTTAAAAAAATTATTGATAAAATAAGCGCAAACAATGCGGTTTCCTGCAATAAATCCATATGTGAAGTTTAACCTTTTGTATGCACCTATTTTACCAAAACTGAGAAACTTTGTTTTCGATGAAAGGTTGCAGACAAATACACTTGGCTTATCGCTCAGCTTCGGAGTTACGACTAATTATACTTACTTAGATACTTACATCAACTGCAACAGTTAATGCTTGTTGGCCTACGAATATCTTTTATGCCCTATTAATTTTTTCTAAATTTCGTCAAAAGTTCGAGTTGTGCTATATTTCTCCAAATAGTAAAAGGTAATTAAAATAAAAGACGAATTCAATAAAAATTAGCATTCAATTTTGCGAATGCTAACGAAAATTTCGATGGAAATACTTGGCGAAAAACGTCTTTCCAATCGAAAACAGTTAGCATTAAATGTATGCCTTCGAACAAGCTATAAAAAGGTTATGATTTTTGTTTTGATTAAAACGAGTAAGCTTTATTCAGTGTTCATTCAGGCTTTTAGTGGATGGCACATGGGTCCAAAGAGACGTGGCCTATCATATCAAACGCGAATGGACACATAAAGGTTTATCCATCTAATTCTATGAACATAAGCTGACAAACGCAGAAGCGTCACTCTGTCAGCGGAACATGTGAAAGTTTTTATCGGCCACTGTTCGGGCATACTTCAAGGATATGTACAAACATTGAATATCTATTTTTTTCTAAATTTGATCATATATTTCTAGTATTCTCAATACATGTAGAAAAACATTAGCTTTTTAAATTAACAAAATTCAACTAGACATTTAATGTCTACGATTAAGCTAAATATTCGCTTTAAATACACCTAAT